TACACCCTCACACCTGGCAGCACGCGGGGCACCACAGTTCCTTCGGGTGGAGGAATGAAGGAGTGATCTAAGCCCTTTGGTAAAATGCCGTTTGAGTTAATAGCAACAGGAGTGGAAGGTAATAGCAAGCACAAATGGAGACCGATTGTGGCGTCGCATTTGGAGAGGGCCAGTTACCAAGCCCTAGTGTCCAAGTTCCTTCACCGCTGTTTGGGGACTCACGGCCTTGAGTTCTGCATCTGATTGCTTTTCCAACCGCCTTATTGCTGTGGGAAGCCTCTTTAATATGTTTTATGTTTGCTCTTTGGGTCTGTACTTTAGAATTTGTCTTAGAATGAATGCAAAATAGATGGAGCTCGGGCGTTTCTGTTTCTCACCCGCTGCCCATCAGAGCCGGCTCGGAGGAACATGACCAGGGCACCGGGAGGGTGTGGGCTTTGCTGGGGCTTTAGTGACAGGGCCATGCTGTATCGGCTCCTTTGTAAACACACTGAGACCAGCGTAGCCTGAGGTTTGCTCTTAGTCTTGTTTTCCTGGATTAAATTGAAGAGGTAGATTTAGTTTCCAGTCCTGGCTGCTGCCCTAGGCTGGAAGGGAGATTGGGGCACAGCTGACTCCTCAAGACTTGAATTCCCTCCCCTGTGTCTCTGTGGACCCCGCCCCCACTTTCCGAGTGGGGCGGGGCCTCGGACCAGACTTGTGGAGAAGGTGTGCGCCTGCCACGTGGTGCTGAGGCTCCTGGTTGGATTTCTCGCATCAGAAGCTCAGCGTGACGCCCGGGAATCTCTGTGTTACGAGGCCCAGTGAATACTCCTCCACCGGGATTTAGGAGCGCGAGGCCCTGAGCGCTAAGGGAGGCAACGGCCTGTACAGCCAAGGTCTGGGGACTCTGGAGAGCACTTAGCAGCCTGGCACAGCTGACAGAGCCACATGGAGGTGTGCCCCCCCATCCTCCGGGCCTCCCCCAGCACATGCCTCTGCCCCTGTGGCCGCATCCTCTGTCTGTGCCAGGGACCCCTGCACACCCTTCCCCTGACGCCTGCACCCTGCAAAGCTTTCTGTGGATGCCGTGTAAGCGTCTTTGGTCTTTGGTGGTAGGGTTCCTTACTCAGTGAGCGGAGGGAGAGCACAGGAAAGGGCCTCTGCACGCCTCAGCCGTCTGCCCAATGGGAGTTCCGGTCCCTCCCGCAGGTCCCTCCCCGGAGGTGTCAGTGTCCTCACGGGGCCCGGCCAGGACGGGCCGGAAGGACCGTCGCCACAGCCTGTGGAGCTCCTCCGGGGAGTCGGCATCCTGTTCCCCTAGGAGCGAGGGCTCCCGTTTCACACCGCAGAGCGATGGCTGCCTCCGGGGCTGCTGCGCCAGACGCCGGGCTGATAGGATCTGTGCGTCCGGGGGCCTCTGCCCGCATTCTCCAGGCCGTTTGATCCGGAGCCACTTCTCAGCAGCTCTTTCCAAAGGAGCCAAGGCCTGGTCTGTCCCAGCACAGCCTGCTCTGGGGAGGGCCCGGGACAGCCTGCAGCTCAGTCACCTGGGCCCCGCCCCGGAGGGCAGGGTGCTGGGTCCCAGAGTGCTGGGTCTGTAGTCAGTCACCTGGGCTGCCGCCCCCGAGGACAGGGTGCTGGGTCCCCGGGTGCCAGGTGTGCAGCTCAGACTCCTGGGCCGCCGCCCCGGAGGGCAGGGTGCTGGGTCCCAGAGTGCTGGGTCTTTGTCAGTCACCTGGGCTGCCGCCCCCGAGGACAGGGTGCTGGGTCCCCGGGTGCCAGGTCTGCAGCTCGGACTCCGGGCTGCCACCCCGGAGGGCAGGGTGCTGGGCCCCCGGGTGCTCAGTCTGCAGCTCAGACTCCTGGGCCACTGCCCCGGAGGGCAGGGTGCTGGGCCCCTGGATGTCGGGTCTGCAGGGAACGGCCGAGCGCTCAGCAGGCCAGGGATGTGAGCTCCGGAGTGCTCTTTACTCCCCTCTCCACCCTGAGCCCACGTGCTCCCTCCGTGGAGAGAGACAAAACCAGGTGCCCGCTCTGTTCCTGGTACAGCTGCGTGGAGGAAAGGGCTTAACGCTGAGGCCGACAGCTCCTTCTGTTGCCCTGACCTGTCGCCCCACATCCTCCCGCCTTGCGCAGCTGCACTGCCGAGGAGGTGGGCCCCTGCTTGTCCGCTACGGAGCCCTGCGTCATGCCGGCCTGCTGGGTCCCCCTCCCGCCCTCCGTGTGCCCTCGTGGTTGGTGGAATCAGACAGTGGACCGAGGTTGTTATCGGAACCTTGAGAAAATCTCGGGAACGCTGCTGAGTTTAGGTGAAGATTTTCTTTCCTGTTGGAACAGGTAAGATATCAGTGGCTGTGCGATTCCATTAAAGCAGCCACACTGGGTTTGCTCCTTTAAGACAAATTACAGCTCGCTGTCCCCACACGCCTATAAGGGAGACCGCCTCCTGTCCCCCACAAGGCAAAGGGAATTACTGTTGGACTAAATCAGGGGTCCACAATTTCTGAGAAGGAAAAAAGAAGAGAGATGAAGAGACAACGATCTAAAGGCACTTGGCTTTGCGGGAATGGTCAGCCTGTGCGGGGTGCAGACATTGAGCCACAAGGACAGGGTGCGCCGTCCATGGCCATTGGCACAGCTGAAGAGTCACCTCGAGGCCGAGGGCTGACGCACGAGCAGCAGGCGGGTGGGAATGAGGGGGTAAACGGAGAGTCCCTGCCTTGGAGCCCTGGGGTCCCCGTGAACACAGAGGGCTCACGAGGTCTCTGGCGTTGTCTGAGCATGTCACATATACGAACCCCTGTCCTGCCCACACTGCCCTGAGGTGGGGTTCCTGGTTGTCCCTGCAAACGCTTGAGGAACCGAGGCACCGGCAGTTAAGTGACTCACCTAGTCACACAACCAGCAAATGGCAATTTAGCATCTCAACCCAGTCCACGTCCGTTCATCTCTAACTGTAAATGCATGCGATTCACCAGGGACTGGGTTGAGAGCAGATGCTGTCCAGCAGACCTGGGCTGGCACCGAGTGGTCCTGCACTCCCGACCAGCCCCCAGGCACCTGCCACTGGTCCTGGAGCGGCCTGCAGCAGGCGTGAAGCAGTGAAAACCCATGCACGTTAATTCAGGAGAGAGGAAGGGCACGGAGCCCCTGAGATGCTCGGATAGCAGATACAGCACATAAGCCCTCTGGGGATGCAAGGTGCCCTCAAGATCAAGTCTCTCAGCCCCGTAGTCCTCTTACTCCCTCCTTTCCTGGGCAGGGTCTGCTTCTGTTCTGTTCTGCTTGCCCGTCTTCCACACAGCTGCCTGCACCAAAGTCCACGATTCTTCTGGCCCGAGGGTCCACAGCAACCACACGTATGCATTCTTAGTTTAAAGTCTTGAAGGGGGAGACTAATTGTTTGCTCTCCTAGTCAGCGAGTGCAGAGGCTGTGGGTGGGGCAAACAAGGCAAGAAGGATGGTAGACAAATAGTCTGACGTACCTAACACAGTGCGGGACCAGGCACCCCGAGTCCACGCCTGGGCGCCTCCTGGGTGGGCCATTAGAAGTGGGGGGATTGTTTATTCACTCGGCCCCTGCCGGCTGCCAGGCGTGTGCCCAGGGATGGGGGTATGCAGGTGGGAGATGGGGGTTTGCGTGTGGCAGATGGGGGTGTGCAGGTGGGAGGTACCGCTCTGGTGTCAGGATGCAGGTTCTGATGGGAGAGGAGTTCTCTCCAGAACGATAGGCTGACTTACAGCAGGCCCGGCCCTCCTCTGAGAACAATTAGAAAAGCTGGCAAAAGCTGCATTTTAGCTTTGCTAATGACATATTTATTCCATAAATACATTTGTATCACATAATTACACATTATCTCTGTGCACATATTCTTCAGCTATCCTACTTGTTCTCTGAAAGACAACATAGAGGATAGAGAGGTGAGATAGGTGATAGATAGGTCATAGATGATAGGTGATAGATGATAGATAGGTGATAGATAGCTGATAGGTGATAGATGACAGATGATTGATAGGTGATAGATGGATGATAGATAGGTGATAAATAGATTCTTTTTATTCAGATCCTAGATCTTATCTTCAAAGCTCTTCAGTGTGGTGACCATGGACCACAGTGCTGTTTAAAGTTAAGTTGAGGGAAATGAAATAGTCACAAATTCCGCTTCTCTGCCAGGTGGACTGTGTGCAGCACTGGGAGAGCACATCCATCACCTCCGAAAATTCTATTGGACAATATTTTAGTTCCCTGGCACCTTGCGTTTTTGGTCAGGCTAATTTTATGATTTTTATTTATTACTAGAGGCCCAAAACATGAAATTCATGCAAGAGTAAACCTTTCTTCCCCCAGCTGTCTCACCGGCTTCCCTCTGGTACCCGGGACACAGGCTTCCCTCACAGCCCTGCTTCCTCTGGCAAGTCATCAGGAAGGACTCCGGTCTAATTAGCATATTGTGCTTGTATTATTATAGATAGTATTACCCCCTGCATGGGACTTTCTGTGGCTCAAGACTCTTCAGTATGATGTTCAGATGTAATATTGTAACGCAGCTCCGTTCCCAGCCTGCCCAGAGCAGGCCCAGCGAGGTCAGTGCTGAGAGCAGACAGGGCGACTCAGTCCAACACGAGGTCCTGCCGCTCCACGGGCGTCCTGCACAGAAGATGGGGCTCCGAGCACGGACCCCCGTCACTGCGTGACCTCGGGCTTCTCGGTCTGGAGATGCCAAATGGCAAAGGCAGTTCTCGGAACCCCCATTGAGGAATCTGTTTTCGAGAATATGGGGCAGTGGGGTTTCCACTGAAGTGCATCCCAGGTTTGCCGTTTACTGGCTTTTAAACAGACAGCACCGCTCAGTGGTTACGCCTCTCTGTGGCCGGTGCGCCGTGGCAGGTCACCATGGTCTGTACCGGCGAAGGTGGCTGGCAAAGGTGCAGGGGCCGTCCAGCCTGGTTTTGGGGTTCAGGGCGGGCTGGGCCGGTAGCTGCTCCACTCACGCTGTGCCATGTCGTTTGTCTTGCAGTGATTCCCCTCAAAGCTGCTGAAGATGCATCCTTTGAGAAGACGGGGACGTGGGCATTTTTTGCAGGTAAAGCTTGCGTTCTGTTTTATTATCCGATCAGGAAAGGGACAGGACAGGAGGAACGGACCCTGCCTTCTTGGATTTGCCACAATATCAGGTTGTTTCCTTGCCCTAAACTCACTCAGAGCAGGAGGGGGATTCCTGGTGGTGCCCACGGGGTTAGAAAACAGAGGTGAACGCTCCATCTGCATCCTTTGAGGCTTTGCTTTGCTCCAGAATTCCTCGCTCATGTGCTCTCAGGGAGGGACCTTGAGTGAGTGACACAAAAATGGCCAGTGCGTCCGCTGTGACTGTTCCTCCTCAGATTCACAGGGAGTCTGGGATTCGGGAAACAGCTTGAAATCTTAAGCAAATCTTATCCAATCCCAGGGGTTTTCAGCCCATCTGGATGGCAGGGTCGTCAGAAGCACTGGTGCTTGTGCCCCGTTGGCAGAGGTTCTGATGCGTGGGAAGGCTGGGAAGCCCGGATGCTGCCCCACAGCAGTGGCTCCCCGGCTGGCCTCCCCTCATCGCACACAGACCAGGGCCCGGGAGCCCTCACGGGTGCACTGTGGTGGGCACTGCCCTCGCTCTCAGAGCCAGAAACTCGGGCGGTTCCGAGGCGGCTTCCCCCGGAGCCTGGGAGAGGAGCTCAGCAGGAGGCAGCTTGGCCTCCCAGGGACAGTGGCCAACAGGTGGGTATAGTTTTGGTTGCCACCACTAGCATTTTGGTACTACTGGCATCTCTTAGGTAGAGGCCAAGGACTACAGTGCACAGGCCGGCTTCCCACAGCTGCGCTTGTCTGGCCCCCGATGCCAGGTCTGCCATGGCCAAGACACCTGGCCTCGCAGGAAGGGGCCACGGAGATGACCACAGAGTGGAGGACGTGGACCGTAAACACCAGCTCCCAGGCAGGGCTCTGGTCAGCACTGAACCGAGTCCCGCTAAGAGGTGATGGGACATGAGGGGTCACCTCCAGGGCGGGCGGGCGGGGCGGGTGAGAGTGACTGTGTCACAAGGATCCCGGGAGATTGTGCTTTGGGGCCACACCATCCCCTCAGGTCACTCCTCGGAGTGATGGGAGCAGAGCTTGCCTAGGGGACAGCAGTGGGAGCTAGATAAAAACAGTGGGCCAGGCCGGTGTTTCTCTCTCTCTCTCTCTCTTCCTCTCCCTCTAAAGCATTTTTTCTTTTGGGAAAACGCAGCCATAATTATGAATCATAAGGTGTCACTCAGGTAGGCCACTGGGGCTTACTGTTGCCTCCCAAAGTCACAGACACTATTTCTCTGGTGGCACTTCCCTCCCACAGTGACTCTGTTTGTCCCTTGCTTTGCTTCTGCATGCTTTGCAGCGGCCTTTGTCTTTATTTACGACCTCTCGCCAAATAATCTCCAGTTTCCTCCCTTGGCCTTTCCCTCAGTGAACGTCTGCTCATTAGCAAACATGAGAGCGACTTGACTCGTAGCGGCAGGAAAAGCGGGGACTTTCGCCCATGCCTCCATGGCCAGGACTGGGATCGGGGGACAGGGAGGCCCTGAGGCGGGTGGCTGGCCGCAGAGACAGATGGAGCCCCCTCTGCCAGCAGGGGGTCTGGGAGTAGTAACGCAGACTCCACGCTCCAGGGAAACTCTGATGATTAGTTAGGGAGGATGGAAGAATGTGAGTGCATCAGGAGAGACGATGAGCTTGGGAGGATTGTAGCCTTTGGTCCCCACAGCCTGGCAGCTCGATCGGCATCTCTAAAGCACTCAGTAAGAGGAACGCTTTGTAGTTCGTGTGTGGCCACAGAGCGTCAGGGCAACTCTCTGCTTAGCTCTCTGCAGTGCGGGCAGCCCAACGTGCCCTCTCTTCCCGGCTGGAAAAGGAGCCTGGCCTTCCCACCCCGATTCCGGCATCCGTTCCTCTGGGCTTTGCTTTTCTAACCCAGGCGCTGCGTTGGCGAGGTCAGGGCACAGTTGCAGCTCCCGGGCGCTGGATCCCAGGCCTTTGCCCTTTTGTTCCTGGCTGGGAGAGCTGCAGTGGGGCCTGCCGGCGGCCATCTATCCTCCGGGGGTTGGCTGGGCCCGGCTGGGCCCCCATGGCACAAAAAGGCATTGTCAGCCTCTCAGGAGGCGCTGTTGCTCAGATTTCACAGGCGGGGTAAACAATGGCGGAGCACACAGCTTCCTCCACGGGGCTGCCATCTCCCAGGCCCGGCATCAAATTTCCAGCTTCGGTGGATCAGGCGAGTTGGGTTCCCTGCCTGAGCTGAGGGGTGCTGGTCTCGCCAGGTTTAAAGCAGCTCTGTGTACCTAGGGCTGCCCAGCAACAGGTGCTGCCTGCCATCCGGGGCCATGCTGCGGGCCTGTGTGGCCTGCTTCCTGGGAGGGCGGGAGAGGCGTGCAGCCTCCCTGCGGGGCGACCCTCTCTCCTGCCTGCTCGCCCACATCTGCTTCAGGGAGGCCTAGGCCGGGGCCCTGTCTGGCAACTGAGCCTAAAAACAGCATTGGTGCCTTTGGACGTGCAAGGGCAAAAGACAAAAGTGCAGATGGATTTGGGGATGTGACAAGGTTTTTGGGATTACTTGAACATGCAGATAAGTGGGGTATCTTGAAAGCAAGTCCCAGGTTTAGTGGAGCCACAGACGGTTTGTTCGTCGAGTTGAAGGCTGGGGTTCCGTCTGGACCAGCATCGTTTGGCCTGGCCTGCTCTAAAGCCTTGGAGCGGCATCCTAACTGGGTAGGCCTTTACATCGGGGTTGAAGGAGTGGGGCCAGCAGGCCGGCCTGAGCGTGCTGCCTGCCCGGCCACAGCTTTGCTCCAGGGACCCTGGGACCCGAGGCGTCTGTGGCCCTGGCTCCCAGGCTCAGGGCTGGACCTTGGTTCTCGTAGTCTTTCTGCAGCAAGAGGAACGCTTGGGACAGAGGAAAATGTGAGGACCTGTGGGTGACAGTTGCTGCCCAACCTGGGGAAGCTCAGTGCTCTGGCATCTCTCCTCCGCACGTTTTAAGGTGCGCACAGCTTCAGGGCTCACCGGAGCGCGGGCGGCCACCGGAGTCTGTGAGGCTGCACGTGGCGCCTGGTGCCTGCTGGCCGGAGGGCCTGAGTGCTTGGTGGTGGCGGAGCCTTCCAGGCGGGCCAGATGTCTTATGACCTGTGTCTGCCGCTGCCTGTGGAGGGCCCCCCTTATCTGAAACCCTGACATGGGCCCTTGGAGCCCTGGCCTCCTGCCCGGGCGGAGTGGCCTCAGACGTCTACAGCGTGCTCTGGGGACACTGGCAGCGTCTCACCCTGGCCTTGTCCTTCCGAGGTTTCTGCAGTCCCAGGACCAAGCGCAGAGCTCAGATGCAGAGGCTGGCTGTGCGTCATGGTGCCTGCTCCAGCGGCACACAGTAGGACAGCTTCTCTCCACCCAAGAATGACACCGAGGCCACATTTTCCTTGCCTTTTGGTCCAGGGGCCACCTCTGGACCCTGCCACATGTGAGGCAGATGTGTCCACCTGGCCTACATCTGTCTGCCTGGCACTGTGTCCTCGTTGTTCCCATCCCTTTGTCTCAGGCTTGGCTCTGCAGCCTGTTCCCGGCGAGTCTGCTCCATGGCAGAGTCCAGGACTGCGCCCTGGCTAGAGGCAACTGATCTATGTTTCTCTTGATGTCTTCCTCCCTCCCTCCCTTCCTCCCTCCCTCCTCTTCCTTTCCCATTCTCTCTCTCTTGTTTTCTCTCTCCTGTGTTCTCTCTCCTGAGTGTCTGTCTCCCTCCCTCCCTCCCTCCCTCCCTCCCTCCCTTTTTCCCCCTCCCTTCTTCCTTCTCTAAAACCCAGAGTGAGGATTAACAACCAAGAACCAGGCAGGACTGTGACATGACTGCGAACTCTGGCCCGCTGCATCCTGTCCAGCTTCCTGCGGGGCCTCTTTCTGTCCCTCTGGGCCTCATTATTTTAAATGGAGGCCACGCCTCCCTCCCCATGGCCGCTCCCGATGCCCCCCCTTCCCCCCATATTAACCACAGAGCTGCCCATCGGAGCACTGGCGTGGCTATGGGAAGCTGCTTTAGTTTTGGTCCCAGGAGGGAGTTTTCTCTGTTTTGTCTCAAACTCCTCATGTACCCTGATACCCTGAACTCCTGACCCCGGTAGTCTGCCCTGCGCCCCGTCCCCTGCACGGTGTCCCCAGGACCCGGGGCTGGTCGGTCTGAGTGGATTCCTGTGCGGAAAAGAAACCAACGGCGTTCCCCTGCGCACCCAGTGCTCTGAGGAGTCCGTCTGCCCCGGGCCCGCTGCCCTCAGCTCCCCTGGGAGCCGCTGCCTGGGCCGTGGCCCCTGCTTCCCGAGGTGTCCGAGGCTCCCTGCACCCGCCACCTTGCTGCTGGTTCCCTGGGTGGTGCCCAGGCCCCAGCTCCCGGGAGCTGCTCCTGCAGGTGCTCCCGCTCCTGGCCTGCCCTGGGCTCCCCTGCGGCCGGCTGCCAGGCAGAGCCGAGAGGAAGCCGGCAATCCGAGTCCATCCGGTTCTCCCGCCGTCTGTGGAATTGACCATGAGCCTCACTGCCCCCAGGCTGGCCCAGCGCGCTTGTCCTTACCTCACTACTCCTGGTCCCAAGGGCTTTCCAAGGCCAACTTCTGTCGACTGAGCATTTTGTCTTCCAGGAACTTAATCTGAAGAACATAATGTGAGAGAGATGTGTTATAATTTGTGCTTATAAATGTCCATCACAGAATTGTTTATTTTAAAGAACTGTCAAACACTTTTAGTAGCCAATAATAAGGTATCAAGTCAATAAAATCCCATTTTTAAAAGCAGTTTAGAATCATTTTTTTAAAATATGTTTTTTTATTGATTTTAGAGAGAAGAGGAGGGGGAGGGAGAGAGAGAGAAACATGGATGTGAGAGAGAAACATCAGTTAGTTGCCTCCTGCATACCTCCCAACTGGGGATGGAGCCCAGGCATGTGCCCCAGCCTGGAATCAAACCAGTGACCGTTTGTTTTGTGGGATGATGCTCAACCACTGGAGCCACTCTGGCTAGGCCAGAATCGTGTTTTTGAGGAGAGCTTAATGAGAAAGTGAGAATAAACAAAAAGCAAGGTATGAAGCTACGCAATCTTTTTTTTTTTTTAAAGATATTTTATTGATTTTCTTACAGAGAGGAAGGGAGAGAGATAGAGAGCTAGAAACACTGATGAGAGAGAAACATCGACCAGCTGCCTCTTGCACACCCCCTACCGGGGATGTGCCCACAACCAACGTACATGCCCTTTGCCGGAATCGAACCCGGGACCTTTCATCTACAGACCGACGCTCTACCGCTGAGCCAAACCGGTTTTGGCAAGCTACACAATCTTAACTCACATGTGCACATACGCCTCAGGAAGTGTTGGCATGCGAGCAGGGCTCTCAGGGTGAGGGAGACGGAGCACTTGGTTTCTCTCTCTCCATATATGTGTTTATTTCCTCTACATGGTTTTGCATTCTCTTTGTCATGTCAGAGACGACTCAGAGCAGAGGCCCCATCCTCTGGAAGCCGCCCTCGCCCAGCTGGGCCCGCCTCCTCTGCTGGCCTGGTCCTGGCACTCAGTCCTCCTGTGGCCGGCCTCGGGCTCAGGGAGAGCGCCTGCATGCTCCTGGTTACAGTCCGAGTGCCCAGGAGTGTGCTGAGCATGGCCCGTGGCGTCTGTCGGTCCTAGAGAAATTTAAGTCAGCAGAGGGACATTGCTGCTAAGTTTAAACGTTTCCCGGAGCCAGCCATCTGCAGCATTTTGCTGCAGAGCAGATCATAATAAAGCTTTTGGCTTCTTCTTTCCTTTCTGAGCACGTGACCTGTCAGACTGGGGCTGAAGTTGGTTACTGGACTTTAAGAAACGGACGCGTTTACATGTGGCAATCCCACCCCCTCAGGGGATGGTGTTAGGAGGAGAACCGTGTGGGCGGTGGTGAGGCTGTGGGAATGGAGGCCCGCGTGGGGCATTAGGCACCTCGTCAGGGGCGGCCCCCGAGGCCTGCCTGCTGCTCGGCCCCCGTGGGAGGACAGGAGAGGATGCCTCTCACCAGGAGGAGGGCTCTCCCTGACACCAGAGCCGCCAGCACCTTCATCTTCTAGAAATAAACGTGTGTTGTTTAGCCCACCCAGTATATCTCGTTATAGTAGCCCAAACTGGCCAAGACAAGTATGAACATGGTTTAACTATTTTAACTTAACCTTTATTTTTGAGAAAATTGTAGATTAGCCTGTATTTCTCAGAAGTAATACAGAGATAGATTCTTGGCATTGGTTTTTACTCTTTGCCTAATTTCTCTCCGTGGTGACATTTGAAAAACTCTAGTGCAAGATCGCCGCCAAGATGCTGACACGGATACCTCCAGGAGGCGACCCTTCCGTCACTACCAGGGTCCCTTATAGCCAAGCCCGTTTCCCGCTGACTCCCTCCGTAACCGCTGGCAACCCTCCCCTGCTCTCTATTTCTGTAGAGCTGTCATCTCAAGAATGGTATGCAAAGGAAACATCAAGCAAAATAGAATTTCACGTCTGTAACCTTTCTGGGTATTTTCACGCAGCGCAGACCGCTGGAGGCTCCTCCCGGATGGTGTGCTCAGTATCTGCTCCCCTTGCTGCCAGGCGGGCCCACACTGGGGAGCTCAGCTGCCCCGTGCCCGGCAGCGCGTCTGCACTGTCCTCAGCTTGGCTGTGGTCTGCAGAGCTGCTGTGGGCAGACGTGCGCGTTTCTGGGTGAACTGCGGTCTCCACCTCTCGGTGATGCAGGCGGAAGCCAGCCGTGCCTTGTAAGAGACTGCACTGTACCGCGTCCCAGTCTCCCCAGCCGAGTCTGTCCTGGCCGCATTGGTGTTGCTGCTGCCCGTGTTGTAGCGGAGGTGCTGGGTGTGGGTGGCTCGCTGTGCCGTGCCTGCGCATCTTCCCGGTGGCTGTGGACGGAGAACGTCTGCTGTGTGCTTGTTTGTTTGTGCTTATTTGCCGCCTGCATATTCTTTTTGGTTAAATGTCTACGTTTCTGTCCATTTTCGAATAGGGTTGTTTATTTTTTTACTGTTGAGTTTTGAGAGTTCTTTATATTCTAGATACTAGTTAGTCCTTTGCTCAATTTGTGGTTTGCAAGCGGTTTCTCCCAGTCTGTGGCTCGTCTTTTCATCCTATTCATGTGGGTGTTTACAGAGCAAAGAGTGTTAGTTTGCTTACAACAAACGTGCTAACTTCTCCTTCTAGGGATGGCCCTTTTGGTGTCAAGCCTCAAACGGCTTTGTTACTCCTAGATCCCACAGGTTTTTCTCCTGCCTTTTTCTAAACGTTTTCCGGTTTCTATTTTACGCCCGGGGTTGTGGTTCAGTGTGACGTGAGGCCTGTTTGCTGGGTCCCCGCGGTGACGCTGCCCTTCCCCGCAGATCTGTACGTGTGCGCCGTGCTGCTGTGCTGCGTGGGCATCCTCAGCGTGCTGCTCTTCACCCTGGCCATCGCCTGGCAGTCTGTGCTCAGCAAGAGGAAACCCAGAGGTAAGAGACGCAGGTCTGGGATGGGAGCACTAGCCCAGCGGACACAGGTGAGCCGCCCGGGCTGAAAAAGGCGTCCTGAGGCAGGAATTACTTCTGAGACAGGCTGCCTCCTGAGGGAATGGACTGGCTGCTGCGGTGGCACGGGAAGAACCACTGCTGGACAAAGGGGAGGCCTGGCAGGAAGGGGCGTCCGGCTGCGGGGCTCCTGCCTGTGCTGCCGCCGAGGAGGCTGGGAATGCAAACGCCAGGGCTTGTGCAGGCTGCCAGGTGCTCCCACGAGTGCAGGGCCACCCACAGCCTCATCTAGGGGTCCCTGCGGGGCCTGGGAGTCTGCAGAGGGTGCAGTGGGTTGGAAGAGATGGTATGGGAAGGTGAGCCACCCGGGGAGGCCCAAACTGGGCTCCAAGATAGCATGGGAGTCTGATAGGATGGGAGTCTGATAGGATGGGAGTCTGATAGGATGGGAGTCTGATAGGATGGGAGTCTGATAGGATGGGAGTCCGATAGGATGGGAGTCCGATAGGATGGGAGTCTGATAGGATGGAAATCATCCCCGGGGCGTGGTGAGGTCAGGGACAGCCCGGTGGGGATGAGAAAGCCTGGGCTTGTCACTCGGGAGAGGTGGCCATGAGGTGTGGCTGGGAGCAGTGCGGCCACCGCAGAGAAAGGGCGCCAGGCCTGGTGCTCACAGCCATCTCCGGGCCAGGAGGTGAGAAGAACAGCCCTTCCTTCAGATCCTTCCTCCGTGTCTGAGGCACACCGGATGGACTGCGCCTGCACCTTCCTTTCCGTGCGGAGAGAGGCCTTTCTGGGCGCGGGCCTCGGGGTCCAGTGCGTGAGGCCAGATGGCAGGGTGTCGCCCTCCGGGATCTCCCCGAACGCGGGTCTCTGCCGGGTCTCTCCCCTCCCCGGGACCCCCTCCCACAGAGAGTCTGCACTGGGATCTGTCTGCAGGCTCTGCTTCTGGGAGCCCAGGCTCAGACAGCTCCCTCGGGGGCGCAGCCGGCACTGAGTGTGCTTTGCTCCCCTAGGCCAGGTGGGTGAGGGCTGGCCCTCAGAGCCTGAGGTCCCGCCTTTGGCCGCTGGGGCAGCTCTTTTGGTTAAAGGGACACAGGCCCCCATTCACCTGGTTGCAGCCTCATAAACAAGTGCGGGAGGTCCGTGCTCACGGAGCCCCGCTGCCCCCTGCTCCCTGCTCCCTGGGCTCCAGGCTGCTCACCTCGCTGCTGCGGCTGGAGTGGAGCCCCCGAGACACAGGCCAGCCAGTGCGGCCAATGGCGGCGTTTATCGTGTGGCTCAGTTTCTTCACCTGCAGGGGCCCTGCCTCCCGATGCCCAGACTCAGCAGCGCAGAGGAGTTACAAGAGGCTCTGCCTCCCGTGGGCTGTGCTCAGCTGCCAGTGCAGAGCTGGGGGTGGCCGCCTGCCTTCCCCTGAGGCCTGGCTGCTGTGCACCTTTCTTCCCTCCTCACCGGTCTGGTGGATGGGGGCCTGTCCTCATGACCTCTTTTGAACTTAATCACATTTTTAAAGGCCCTCGTAGTTCTGAGGTACAAATTATGCAAGCGCATAGCTTAGCCCCTAACGTCTCAGGTCAGCTGAGATGACTTGCATCTGTTCCATGTGGTGTCTTCTTCCAGTGGGCTAGCTAGGCCCATGATTCCACATGTGGAATCAGAAGAATTCCTCAGAGGGATGGAGGAGTGAGGGAGGAAGAAAGGACAAAGAGGAGGAGGAGGACAGAGGGCAGGGGAGGACGGGAAGAGGGGATAAGGGGAGGAGAAAGGAGGGGGCGAGCAAGTGAGCAAGATCTTGGGCGAGGCCGTTAACCTCTCTATGCCTCAGTCCTGCTGTAACACAGATGTGATGACAACGTCACTGTGAAGATGGGAGAACAGAGGGTGGTCCCAAACACTCTGCTCACATCATTCCCAAATCATTTCAACTATGCAACCCTTGAATGTGCTTTGTTGACAAATATAAATTGTTGCAAAGGATGTAATTCCCACAGCATTACAAATATTGACATCTAAAATGAAATGGTTAAATCTCTGTTACAGCTACATGCCAGAATTTAGTAACTACCTCTGCCGACTTAAAAAGGCTCATAAATAAGTCTTAGTTTTCAGGAATTTTATGTGTCTCCCCCTCGCCCCCAGGGTTTTATTTTCAATCACTTACCCAACAAAACTTTATTCTGCTTTTTAGTACATTATTGTTTTGAAAATCATTTATTGATTTCCATATTATACTTCGATAAAATAATATGTATAAAAATTAAAATTAAAAGTTTCATTTCCTTATTCCATAACTCTCTAGGTTTTAATTTTTTTCTGGATTAAGTTATCAATATTGCACAATTAGTAATATTTGGAAAATGACTAAAATTAATCAAAACCACATAAATACAAAATTTAGATAAATAATTAATAATCACAAGAAGTAAAACTTTATTAGAAATGGATTTTATTGAAATGGATTTTTACTTTGCTTCACATGCCCTTGGATAAATTTGGTTAGTGATAGACTTTAGCATCAATTTCAGTCCTGCTTTTAATGGCTGTAAGCTCTGAAATGCCGTGCTTAATAGGCACAGAGGCTGAGATGGACCAAGTTTCCTGATACCACTCAATACTCTAAACTGCTTCCCAGTTATAAGTCAAAGTCATATAATAATTTATCATCGAAAATGACTTAATACTCCACCAGCTGATTCCTGGCTTAGGTCATCATTCAGTCCTTGTTGGAAGCAAAATATTGGAAACCTTCCCCCATGAAAGGTCTAGTGGCCCTGTCATTCGTCATTCACCTTCTCCACACTGGCATCAATATTTCAAATCATCTCTTGTTCGGTGCCCACTGGTCTCTGCCCCCAGGACAGGCCTTCATAGCACAAGTCAGGGGGGGTGAGGGTGGCCTAGGTTTTCTGAAGTAGAAAGGGTGATGTGATGGGGAGGGAGGAAATGAGTACAGTCTGATCTCAGGTGTTTCAGGAGGAAGAATTCTTAGGAAAGAATATCATGGAAGGTGAGAATCTAGAAATAGATTTCCCTAAAACCATCCTTCCTAAGATGCCGAGGACATGCAAACCCCAGGGTATGCAAGCCACTGATCTACATAGTAAGCTTGGAACAGTGCCAGGAGTTCATGTTGTGACCCTTACATGCTAACTATGACTTCATTACTTCTTTATCTATACAGTAACTGGAATGCAGAGAGAGTCTAGCTGTAGCAGAGGCCGGGCCAGATTGGCCTAAAGGGGCCCCTCTAAAGCTGGTCCCATCGTCTTGGTCTGGAACCTGAACTGGTCACCTGCTTGACAGATACTCCAAACATGCAGGTTCAAACAGCCTTTTATTTGCTCACAATACTGCAGGCCAGCATTTTTAAAGGCCCTGCCTTCAAATACAGTCTCCTTCTGAGGCACGAATTATGTGGGCTTCAGATTTACCTCTATTTGGGCTGGGGCTCAGCTGACAACCCCGGAATCAGCAGCTGCAGTCCTGCTTTGGGGCCTCAGCTGAGATAACTTGCATCTGTTCCATGTGGTACCAACTTCCAGTGGGCAGCTAGGCTTCCTCATGTGGAAGCAGAAGAATTCCTTAGAAGGATGGGGGAGGGAGGGAGGTCAAAGAGGAGGAGGAGAAGGACTGAAGGGGAAGGGAGGAAGGGAAGGAAGGGAGGAAGGGAAGAAAGGGAGAAGAGGAATGAGGGGGAGAGCAAGTGAGCATGCATGTGCAAACCTCTTTTAGATCTCTGCTTGGCTACTGTTTCATTGGCCAAAGCATGCCTTGTGGCCAAGCCACATGGGTGTGGATAGATACAGGGAGGTGTGATCATGGGGCCATTGGTGCCACCACACAACCCCAGGGCCTGTGGCTGCCTCAGCTTTACTTCTATTTGATGTGAACCCAACTGTGAGCTTAGATTGGACACTTGTTAGGATAACTGCCTAGGCGTTCTTATTTCTCCTCTACAACCAGAACTTGCTTTTCTCAAGAAGACCTACTTCGTAGAATATCTTGCTCTAAGACTCTTTCCATGGGTATACTGTTAGCCCTGGAAAAGCACTGATCGGAGAATAGAAACCACTTTATAGAGAGGAGAGTCTGCATGGAAACAGGTGGCCCCGAAAAGGCCTTTTCATCATTGAGGCAGAGCTTAGACATTGGGTGGTGCTGTTACTCCTGGGACCTTCAGGTTAGAACCAGACTCAACCAGCAAAAGAACTGAATGCTTTGGGCTGAGTAATCAGGGAGTCTGCAGTGTATGGCTTCCTGTCTGGCTTGATCCGGGTGTGGAACAGTATCACGTGACTGGTGTCATGTTCTCATCCGCTGTACTCATCCGAAGAGAAGTGTGAAAGCCTGAGAGGTGGCCTGGACCAACGCCTGGTCAACACCTGAGCACCTACCTCTCCTAATTCCTGGAGTATATATGTATATCTAAAGTAGCATTTACTTATCATCTTTTATTTATTTTTCCTTTCACAGTGAGAAAATATTTGGTGAAATGCCCTCAGAACAGGTAAGAATATTTTTGCTTTTACTTTCTTTAGATATTACCAAGAAATTGGTTACATTTGTATCTTTACTTAAAGGTCTTCATATTAGCCTACAAATTGGCCTAAAAATGTGTGTCCCACATGCATTTGCATATTCCCAGACTCCATGCTCTGTTGTCACCCCAAGAGGATCCAGAAAACAGGTGGTTTCGTGCTGCCCAGCACTTGCTCTGGAGGACGGTCCCTCATTTAGAAAGAGGCTGGGAACTAGACTGACCCACTTTGATACCATCTGACCATAATCACTCCTAATCTTTTCCCAATAATGCTTGCTTGTTGTATGCCTCACTCGTTAGAACACAGACATCCTATATGATAAAAGGGTAATATGTAACTTGACCCTAACAGCAGAATGACCAGAACAATTGCTGGACCAGTCATTATGAGGTGCATTGACCACCTCTTGGTTCCTTTCTCTGCTGGGCAGGCTCTGATTGCTTGATGGCCACCTGCGGCAGGGGTGGGGCCATCGAGCGGGTGGGAACAACCAACCTCTCGGTCCCTTCTCCCCACCATTAGGCACCGATCACCCGATGGCAAATTGGGAACTGGCAGTAGGTGATGATGAAAGATGGGGCCAGCTGTGGGCACCTGAGGAAGATGGCCCTGATCACAGGTCAGGCCTTGGGACTATACCATGTGCAAGGCCTCTAGTTAGTAATATATGTGCTAAAATGCTAGCTTTAGCTGGTTGAACAAACCTCATTGGTAACAATAGTTATAGTAAATATTGCAAACTTACAGTGTTTAAAAATGTGAGACTTTTGATCCAGGCAAAATGGCATAGGTCAATTTGACCTTGTTCTTCCCTGCTAAGCATAAACATAAATCTTGCAAATAATATGATACACCAAAGGAGGACTCTGAAAGTTGGTTAAAGGAAAACTATGAAAACCAAAGACAAAGGAAAAAAAATCTTAAAAGCAATCAGAGAGAAATAATGTATTACCTATTAAAGGAACACAAATTTGAATGACAGCAAATTTTTCATCTGAATTCATAGAGGACAGAAAGAAATGGAACCACTTTTTTCAAAAAAAAATTTTTCTTAAACTACTGTTAACCACAAATTTGATATCCAGCAAAATTATTCTTTAGGCAAAAGGGGAAATAAGGGCATTTTCAGATTAAGGGAAACTTAAGAAATCTGTCACTATCAGCTTACTTTTAAAGAAATTCTTGAAATAAAACAGAAAATCTTGGTGCATTAGAAAGGAAAAAGGAGTAATGGAACATAAATATGGGTAGTTAAGTAGACTAATTTTTCCTCAGAAGTTGTAAAAATAATATTTGATGATTAAAACAAAAATTATAAAGCCATCTGATACTCAAGAAGAGCATTATGATATTTAAAAGTGGGAAAGGTCAAGTGACCTAAATAGAATAATGTTTCTATACTTCATTGAAAGTGATAGAACATTGGTATAAGGAGACTTCAATATCCCACTCCTTCATCAAGGTAAGTCTGAAAGAAAACATCAGAGTAGCTGTCCCTAGTCCTGATGTGATCCCCATTGAACCCTAAGATAAAGAAAGCCATCCCAGAAGCCAGCACCAGAGGGCGAGCCTCCTTCTCTCATAGTGTTCCTGCTGCTCTGTCCTCATCCCTGGCCTTGCACTGCCTTTTCCCCTAGGGTGCTCTTTGTTCCCATGAGCTGGAGTTAACAACACCATGTGTTGCATGGTCACAGTTGGGGCAAGCATGTTTCTGGATGAAGCAACATGCATGTGCAGTAAATGGAGAGTATCCCAAGGATGGAAGTAGCTAGACAATGCAAACAGTGATAATAAGAGAGGTTATAGCTAAATTAATTTAAGATAATAGATAATTTAAGACAAATGTTACAAGAGACAAAGTTTCATAATTACAATGGGTCTAAACATAAGGAAGATATAGTCATAAATCTACTAGTGGCCTGGTACATGAAATTTGTACACATTAAAAGAGTATTAATTAGAGGTAATATTTTAAATATATATTTTTTATTGATTTTTTTTTACAGAGAGGAAGGGAAAGGGATAGAGAGTTAGAAACATCCATGAGAGAGAAACATCGATCAGTTGCCTCCTGCACATCCCCTACTGGGGCTGTGCCCGCAACCAAGGTACATGTCCTTGATTGGAATCGAACCTAGGACCCTTCAGTCCACAGGCCGATCGATTCTCTAGCCACTGAGCCAAACCAGTCAGGCAAGAAGTAATATTTTAATATTGCTATTTGCCCTTTGTCTATAATAAAAGTGTCAGAGATGAAAGAAAATTAGTAAAATGTATATGAAAATCTCCCTTCTGTCAGAGTCTGGGGGGCACCGTGGGGCCCAGAGTCAAGTCCTCGCCCACCTACAGTGCCTCAAAATTGCAGGAGACTCAGACCCAGCCAGCCCCACCCACATTGGGTAGGATCCAGACCCAGTCAGCTCCACTTTTGTCAAGCCCCACCAGATGGGGGTCACAGCTTCAGAGCCCCTGTCAAGCCCCACCTGGTGGGAGGCACAGCCTCAGGTCCCCCAGTGCTGGGGTAGGGGGAACAGCCTCAGGTCCCCTGGCCTAGGGCAGGGGGGACAGCCTGTGGCCCCTCATCAATCCCTGCCAGGCAGGGGATGTGGCCTGAGGTCCCCTGACCTGGTGCTGGGTTGGGGGGCACAGCCTGAGGTCCCCTTTCAAGCCCTGCCAGGCAGGGGGTGCAGCCTTAGGTCCTTGCTGATTGCTCATTAAGGTTTGTTATGGGAACTCGGCCTCCGCTGTTGTCATCGCCATCTTGTTTTACGGAAACCCCACCTCTGCTGTGGGTGCAGCAATCTTGTGTTATAGAAACCCTGCTTCCATTGTGGTCACCACCATCTTTGTGATGGTGTGACAGTAAATTTGCATATTTCCTCTTTACTAGATAGGATATAGATCTAAAGAAGAGCCTCAGATACATGAAGCAAACAGACATTTGAAAGATAAAGTAGATGATCTAGAATAATAGTTGATTTTATTGTTCCATTCTTAATAATTGATAGAATAGCTAGATGGAAAATCAATAAGGGCACAGAAGATCAAGCAATTTGACCCCACACTATCCTGTGACAACAGGATTATTCTTTTCAAGTGTCCTTGGAACATTCTTCAGAATATGCCAAATGCTAGGCCATTAAACAAAAATTAAGAATTCTTAAGAAAGAATACCATAGAAGGTGAGGGTCTAGAAAAAGATTTCCTCAATACCATCCTTCCTAAGAATGTCTAGGGTATGCAAGCCCCAGGGTATGTTAGAAATCATATGAAGTTTGTTCTCTGGCAATAGCAGAATTAAATAGAAATCAATGACAGAAAGAGATCCGGGAAATTGCCAAACGTTTTAAAATTTAAAATAACGTGTTTCTAAATAATACCTGGGCCAAAAAAGAAATCACAAATATTTTGAATTAATTAACCAGTTAACCGGGTAGTTCCCTTTTTAATTACCCAACCTGTAACGGGCGCGTACTCTTTCACTAGGACTTGTCATATGTCACGCTTGGAGGACCTAATTTCATATGATTATTATTATTTTTTTATTTATACTTAATTAAAATAAATGAAATATATATATATATATATATATATATATATATATATATATATCACAAAGGAAAATACAAAATTACAAACAAATAGAAAAGAATACCAACAAAAAAAGTGGAAATATCGAATTAAAAAATTATAAATTTGACAACACCGGTTTGGCTCAGTGGATAGAGCATCAGTCTGCGGACTGAGGGGTCCCAGGTTCGGTTCTGTTCAAGAGCATGTACCTTGGTGTGGATACATCCCTGATGGGGGATGTGCAGGAGGCAGCTGGTCGATGTTTCTAACTACCCCTCTCTCTTCCTCTCTGTAAAAAATCAACAATATTAAAAAAAATTATAAATTTTACAAACAATTATAAAGATTGCAAAAAATATATACCGTCCCTCTCAGGGCGCAACATATATTTCCAGGATGTATTCTTATGTCCTACCCATTCCCGGTATTGTTTACATTTGACGTATTTATAGGTCCCACTCGGTTAACAGGTTAAAATGAAAACCCTATATACCAAAACGTATAGTATAGGATGCAACAAAAGCAGTGCTTACAGAAAACAATTATGGATTTAAATAGCTATATTAGCTAGGAGAAAAGGTCTCAAATCAACACCTAACCTTTCACCATAAGAAACTAGGAAAAAAGTGCAGTGACATAAAATACAAGCAGCATAAAGGATATGATAAAGATTAGAACAGAAATCAGGGAGAACCAAGATAGCAGCATAGATAAACATGGCTACTCATTGCCTCCCAGAACCACATCAAAACTACAACTGAAATACAGAATCACCGTCATTCCCAACTGCCTGAAATGCTGCTGAATGGAAGTCCTACAACTATAGAAGTAAAGAAGAAAGTGCATTGAGACTAGTAGAATGGGGTAGAGATGTGGAACAGGCTGGTCTGACACACAAATGGCATTTTTTTTTTTTTTAATCAGGAAGGATATCTTCACTGTGGAGGCCTCCTATGAGAAGCAAAGGGTTCTGACCCCACTCCAGCCCCCAAGTCCAGGGTTTCATAGTTGGGAAGAGAATCCCTATAACTTTGGAGTGTTAAAACCAGCAGGGATTGTGGCTCAGTGACATAGAGGCTGCTGGAGACCCAGGCAGTTCCTCTTCAAAGTGCCAAAACAGAAACTTGTACAGGCTTGCTTCCTCTGAGCTCCAGCACTGGGCAATGGTTTTGGGGGATCCAGGGACATATGGGGTGCTCACAGGGGTCATTGTTCCTATGTTGAGACTTCCCCTATTGCAGAGCTGACGGGAAGCCATATCTGAGTTTCCATCAAACTGGCTCACACTGTTTGTTCCACCCTGGTGATCCCATGAGATCCTGTCCCATCCAATTTGCAGCTCCAACTAAACTGTTTGCATTGGCTTTTCCATATAAATGGTCTGTCCTGGCTC